CCATACTCGACCAGCAAGTCAAGAAACAACCAACTTCAAAGAGCAATCTACTCCAAGTTTTGAAGCAAGAGTGGGCAAAAATTGACGAGATGATTCTCACGATGCCCCAAAGGATCAACGAACTCCTCGAAGCGAAAGGAAGATGTACTAGATATTAATTAAATTATAAATGTATCAATTCATGTGAATATGACTGAAAAATTTATTTTTTTCTGAAAAGGTGGTGTCTATTTACTTGTGACCACACTGTGTACATTAATGTACAATATGTGGCCTGTGAAAAGTATTAAGATATGTGGTCAAAGACTGGCCTTGCAGAAACTCTCCACACTGGAAATTTTAGACTTGGATAACATACTTGTAGCCATCAGATTAAGCATGAATGATGATGAAGGAAGTAATTCTGTAGTACAGGACCTGGAGCACCATTTTTATAAAGTGTAACCCTCAGTATTGTGTAGGGTGCCTGGCTGTTTGTCAAAGATATGGGTCAGAATGTTACTCGGTCTCTGTTTTTAACATTTGACTCAATTCATCATCAATTTTATCAACAGATTCTTTCATGGTTTTCCATCCCAAATGATTAGAACTTTATATGTAGTAATTTTTACAAGGCACTTAATGACCAGATCTTTTGTAATTATTAGTAAGAACCTCTGAGTGAAAAGTAAAAAAAAAAGCTTATAGTAAGTTGAAGTATGTCCAACAGTTTGAAAATGTTCTCAGGTTTTGAAAATATGCCACATGAAAAGACACTTGATAAATGTTTTAAGTGATGACTAGCAGATATGTTTTTTGTCTTTCTAGTATTAGTAATATAGCTATGCAGTAATTCACAACAGTTACCAGTTTAAAAACTGGATTCAAAATATGTAAGTATGCAACTACGAGTGCTTGAATCTACAAATATTAGTAACAGTTATGCAATAATCTGTGATAGTTATTAGTTTTAAAACCAAAAAGAAAATTGTATAAATATGCATGAATCTACTAATATTAGTAACATAGCTGTGCAGTTATCCACAATAGTTACCATAACTGAAGCAAAATGTTTAATATAACTCTTAACTTTCAGGCAACAAACAGGCAGCTTCCACAAACAGTAACAGGAGCATACCTTAGCGGTCTGCGGGAAGCAAGTAAAGTGATAGAACATTGTACAGAAGAGGATTGACTCTAGTAAATCTGCTACTTTAGTTGTCTTTGTCAACTGTATCCCATTTTTTGAGTGTATAGAAAAAAAAACCTGAATTTGGTAGTTTCTTATACAAAAAACTAGACAAGAAATCCTTCAGTGTGTGTGTGTTTGTAAAAAAATATCATGTAGCTGCTTTTTGTAAACAATTTGTCTAAAAATGAAAAGGATGACCTAGGTAAAGAATGGACTTTGATGTTGATCAGTTTCATAAAAAAACTGTGTCTGTGATATTTCTACTGTAATATCATTTTTGTTGTAAATGCTCAACATTTATTTTCCAGATAGGAATTAAGTTGGAAATTTTGCATTTTTCTTTATATTCTTTTCATTTAGGGACCATTTGCTATAATAATTTACTCAAACTATAATAGTAAATGAATGACGTTTATATGAACTTATGAAATTACCCATGTGATTAGTCTAGTATTTTAAGTGTTTATTTAAATAGAATGTCCCATTCAATTTGTGTAATATGGTGTAATAATAGCTAACAGTTTTTACTACTGATATTTTATTATTAAATCACAAGAAGCAATTTGCTAGAAGTGTTAACAATTAATGCTGTTATAAAATTATGCACTGTATGTTAAATTTTTCTCAAGTTATGAGTTTTTTATTCAAATACCAAGACACACATTCCTAGTTTTGTCATTTTCTATTAAATAAGGAATGTTATTGCAATCTTTAGAGTATCATCTGAATAGCAATATACATACATACATTCAATGTATTATATATCGTTCCAACAAATTGCAAGCATGTTCTACATGATTATGAATCTATGGTTATTAAGAATATATTAAACTTTCTGAAGTGGACAACTGTTCAAGTTTACAAGAAACTTTTTTTCCTAGTTACAAACACATATATGAGTACTTAAGAAATGGTGAAAAATTCTGATTTGGGCTTCTTACGTTGGCCATTTTAATTAGTTACGAACGTATTTTGTTATTATTTATTGTTGGCACAAGAATCATTAGTGTATACAGCTTTTGTAAAAAAAGAGTATCCAAGCTACGTGTAATGCATAAACTGTTAACAGATTGTTATATTTAAATATTTTTCACTTGAATTGTAATTGTGTTACAAAATCACGTTAAATTACTACATAATTAATATGGAATACCTGAAAAATGTGGCCCTTTCAAATAGCTTTTTATGCTAGATGTTATACAAGTTTATAACTTACCTTTAAAATGTGTGTATATACATGTTTTTTTCTTTGAAATCGGGACTTCACAAGAAAACTTAAAAAAGTAAAACCTTCAATGAAATTAACAAATTAATCTTTTAACGTGTTTTCCGTTTATCATGATACAATAAATGATTTTGCAATTCAATACTAATACTTGTGTGTCATAGGTAGTAGTTATGGATTTTCCTTAGGATTAAGCAAAAAAGATTAGTATTGTTACAAACTGTACAAATGTTAATACCTGTATACAGAATGTTTTATTTTTCCCAATCCTAAGTATTCAATCAATATTTAAAATTATCTAACCAACATAAATAAGAATACTAGTAGTGCACTTCAGTAGGCATATCTAGAAAAGTGTAAGATAATTTTAATGTATAGGTTTGCTGACTACAACTTTCAGATGTTACTTGTAATAATACATCTAAAACATTGTAACAGACTGTATATAGTATCTAAATGAATAACTTAAAGCAGCACTATCAATAATAGGTACATGTACAAATGGAGTGTTGATATAAAAAAAAACTTAGTTTCATCAAAATAATATTTTCATTTTGAGTTATTTTATTTCTTGAAATATTAATATTTCTTATGAAATAGATACTCGTGGCGAGTGTAATAATGGGAGCTGCTGAATGAACATTACCAAATTATCTGATAGATTTATGCACTGTCTGATTCAATTGAATATTTTTTTAATATTGACTAAGTTGTTTCTTTATTCATTTTATTATAATGTTGGTTGAATATCAAAATAAGTTAAGTCCATTTAAAATAAATGTATGTATAATTCAGAATGGAAGTATATCCAAGCTAAAAAAAAACATACTGGATTGTGAAATAAATTTTTCTTGTATGCATTTATCATTGTAACTGTGACATAATTTTTATTTTTCCTGTTAAGACATTACTGATTTAGAATTTTATGTTTGTTATCACTCTAATTTTTTGCCAGTAAAATGTGGAAAGGTACACTATTTAACTTTATTTATAAAGGCAGTATTGTCTATACAGGCTCGGAGATTTCTAAGAATGTATGCACATGATGACTGTCTAAAAGTGCCATTTTTGCCTTTATTTTTTTGCATAATATTTGAAATAATTAAGCTGCATGTGAATTTTTTTTACTCTTTGTAATCTAAGATAAGTTACAGTAAAGTTATCTGGTAAAAGGAGTGAACTACACTTTAGGTATGTATGCTTCACCAAAACCATTCATTAGATTTCTTGATATCCTGTGTCTACTCTTCTTTGTAATCTAAGATAAGTTACAGTAAAGTTATCTGGTAAAAGGAATGAACTACACTTTAGGTATGTATGCTTCACCAAAACCATTCATTAGATTTCTTGTTATCCTGTGTCTTCTCTTCTTTGTAAATGTTTCATATGAAACAGTGACTAGGTGTTTTGTTAAAAATTAGTACTCAAAACTGCATAATTACCCTGTTAGTTGTGACTATGTTTATTTAGTTTATAACAGTGGAGTAATAAAGTTACATATTCGTAAATGTATATTTCACACTAAAAGTAGTAAGACTGTAGCTGACATAACTCTGGCACATGTTATTCTGTAATGCCACATTTAATATTTGGTTACATAGTGTAGTTTTTGCATTATTTCCTGAAAAAGATATTTATCAGTAACAATATTTGCTTTGAAGGTAGTCATTTTGACCCTTGAATTTAAACTAGTTCAACAACTCTGTGCACTAGTCTTTTCCAGCATCTTTTTTAATGTACTGCATTGTTATTTTATGTATTTTATATATACACATGTATGTGTGTGTGAAGATCATAACGATTTGTATCATTTTTTCCTGTTTGGAATTATATGCCAAGAATACATAGGACTTCCACCTTATGCTTAAGTTAAGCAAAAACAAAGGCTGTAGCATGGGTAAATCAGTATTGTATAATAAAATATGAAAATTACTTTCAAGCATCATTTTATTTCAATCAATATCTTGCATTACTTGTTTTCATATTCTTGTGAATAGGAAAACCTTGGAATACTTTTTGTCCATCTAAAAATATTTACAGAAGATTATCCAGGCTTAGACACAATAACTGTATGTCTGTAAATAGATAAATCTTTAAAGAACTGTTAGGCTTACACAAATATACTTGCCTATACAATTTAAGATCACAGTTATTCACCCCCTTCATTATAGCTGAAAAATTTTATTTTTAGATAAAATTTACTAGAAGCAACTTAATAATACTGACACGAATGATTAAAACAAATGTGGAATGTTTTTATATGGAATGGGTATTATTTACTACATATAGTATATTTGCATAATGTCCATGTTTAGCTCTGGTAACAGTTTATTTTATAAGTTGTTCATATTTGTGTGCATGGATCTGATTTTAAAAAAAAACTACCATTGTCAAAAGCAACATATAGTGATTTTCAATCTCTATTTTGCTTGTATTCACCCTATTTTCATACTCTTGAAATTAAGTTACGTTTTTTAATGTATCATCTTCATCTACCAATTTTCAAACCTTGAGAAATATATATTTATATTAAATTGAACTTGTATTTGTAAACACAAATTACAGAATTTTTTTAAGTTGCAAGAAAAATTACCCTATTCAATATGTTAACAATATATGGATACTGTTTCATTTGTATTTTAGAGAGCATAGACCTTGCAAGTCTTGTATTTGTAGTGGACTGCTCCTGCATTGTTTTTTGAGTGGGTTAATGTTTTGATCACTGATGAGATCTTCTGAAGAAGGAAGTTTCAGCACAGAGGCTGAAATTCTACTCCATTCAAAAACAAGGCAGAAGTAGTTCCTTACAATGTACAGCTATGATAAAGGTGCCACATGTTGTGAAGAAATATGCATCTTTTCTTCCAGTTCCCTATAATATTTCCTTAGTTCATTTTCCTTTTCCACAAAGGCATGATCAACCTGATTATTTTTATCCTGAATATCTTTCAAAAAAGCTTCCCACTCTTTTCGCCTTTTCTCTCTCCAGTATGTCAACAGTTCTTCCTAAAAGGCATTAAAATAATTAATGATTTTCATACATATTAAATGTCAATGTTTTGGTTCAACAACAAAACACAAAATTTGTATACTTACTGATACACTGAAGAATAAAATTGAATAATTGCATCAAGGTAAAGCTTTTTCAATCATGTTTTCTCTGTTGATTTAAACAAACATTCTAGCAAAATATCTATCAAAGAGGCTACAATAGTGAAGATTTACACCTTTAAAAATATACCAAATATTATAATCTATATTAGCAATAATTAAAATCAAAGATTGTAAGAACTATAATTGTACTTAAGTACTTTTTTAAAAAATGATTTTTATATTGCAAAATGAGGAACTGATAAATTTTTAAGCCAAAAATGTTTTTGGGGACTGGAAATGTGATTTGGTGGGCTTTAGCCAACCTCATAATGATTACAGTCAGTAGGTTAATAACAGCTTTTGGTCCTCCACAGTTACACAAATTCTAAATTTTGGTGGTGTTTAAAACCCCATAACTACTTTATTTGTAATAAGGAAAAGAGAATAGCTATGTAGTTATTCATGAAACAAATGTTCAGAAATATCTGCATGATTTAAAAAATGACCAGAAAAAGGCACAGCTTTCCTTATGATTTTTGTACCATAATACATTTTTTTGTTCAGTAGCTTTATGTAATTTACAAAGCTTTTTTTTTAAGGCACAGAGTTTACCACAGTTTTAATGACTGTTCTATGATATAAGCCATTCAATCAATCTATAGCACATCAATTTAATACAATAAGGATTTTTGTTTAATTTACTTCAGTATATTCTCTTCAAACTGTTGCAAAAACTTTTGTTTTTCTTTATTTTAAATGTATTTCCATGAACTATTTTAAGCTCAGAAATTATTTAGGGACTTTCACTAGAATTTCACATGGGTAATTCAGGGTTCCCACCATTAAAATAACTTTTCATTACATTTCAGAAATATTTCATAAGACTTTACATCACCCCTCACATCTACTCCACCTTCATTCCCTTTCATTTTTAAAATTTTATTGAATTAATCACATTTTGGTTAAATTGTTCAATGAACTAATTAGTTATTAGATCAGATAATACATAAAATAAAGTAATAGTTTTCCAGGACATTTTTTTATGGTTTTTCCTGGATGTGGGCGAGCCCTGATCATTTCAAAATGACATTTAACAGTCAGCCACTTAAACAGTGAAAAATGAGATTTTTGAACATTATGATCACATTCACATAACTGCAATTCCTTGTATTTTCACATTTTTGTATGGAAGAATAAGAAAAACCTTTTCGTTTTTCATGAGAACAAAAAATATTTCTCCTTCACATTACTCGCTAAATGTAAATAATCATATGATTTTCTTGGTAAATTAATAATTACTAATGGTGTACTACCCTCAAAGTGAATTATATGTAACTATTATTCATGTGACACATGTATAAACATGCTGGCAGATGGGTGTAACTGTGAATGATCAATTTTTGATGGTTACAGAATAATTTACTTTGTTGAATTCAAACAATGAAGAATTACAGACAGCTGAATATGGCACAAAATAAATAAAGTTCAAGTTCATTGATTTTTTTCATAATGTGCAGTTGATTTACAATGAAGGGCTTAGGATAAGATGCAGGGTCACCACAACAATGTATACTTGTGCATGGTACATGGCTTTCCTGATAATTGCTGGGAGCATTTAAATGATGGTTTAAATGCATTTATTTTAAATTGTAGTTGTTATGAATTAGATGGGGCCTTTTACCTCATCTTGAGGGTTCATTTTATCTAACCTTTTATTAAGTAAAATGTCCCCAAACCACAAGAAGTGAAGTTTTTCTATATCCAAAAAAGGTATATGTCCAATCTTCGTTTATATAGAAATGGCATTTATAATATAAACAAGTTTCATTTTAAAATCACATTCAAAGTGGAGTTGGCCATCTTACTCTACCTACTCCTACTGAATTTTAATTTTTTATTTCAGCTTGTATAAGGACAGGTGCAAACATTAAAAGTCATCCAAAATATCTAAACATACAAAAAATTACAAAAGTCTTCCCAGAGGTCAAAATATGGCCCCAATTCTTTACAACCCTACAATTTTCAATTCCAGGACAAAATATTTCCTAAATCATAAACTAGCAAAAAAATGTTCAAATATTTAGCCTTTTATTGACAAATTTGCAAATTAAACATAAATTTTCCCTTAAAAAGAAAAGTGTAGTAAAATATTTAATACATAAACATACAATTTTTCACGTTATTTATTTCTCATAATAAAGAGAAGAGCCATGGCAACAAATGTAAACATCTTTATAGTTGAATTAATAGATACTGTACATATTCCATCATCAGTAAATCTATGAGAATAATCAATAGGAAATTTTTTAAATAAAATGAACTAAAATTCAAATATAATAAAATTGTGTGTTAGGAAATTAAAATATTCATCTAAAAAAGCTACTTGAATAAAGCAAAGGGAAAAAAGAGTTGATCTTTCTGTTAAGGCTTAGGTTTTCATTCTTAATATGTAAACTCTCTTTTATCAAAAGTTTGTAATCATCACAACCATAACTTAGGATTTCAAAGTATTCTAAAGAAATACGTGTGATAACATTTCTATGTGAGAATGTATAGGAGAGTTAGGTGGAATTTGAAGTTTAAAACCAGTTCTGTCATAGGTGTATATTTTTAAATGGCCCAGGTTTTGCTGATGTAGGCAGCTTTACAGTTGCCATATGTATATCTTTATATATGATCTTTGAACATGAGAGTTCTAAAAAAAGTATGGATACAAGACAACAACTTAAAAATAATATAAAGTTTAACCTGGAGGTAGAAAGATTTGAGTACTTTATTAAGTTGGGTTTTAATAATAAGACTTGTTAGCTCAACAAATAAATCATGAAATAAAACCCTAATTTGCAATACATGTACAGTAGAAACACAATCATTTATTTGAAACAAATGATTTTTGTCCAAACCTTATTGAAATTCTTCTTCTTCTTTATAAGTTACTTATATTTTTATCAAATTCAGGACTTAGTAAATACAGGTATTCAAAATGAAAAAAACTTACACGATCACTTGTCTCCTCTTCTCGTTCCACAATTTTACTACACATCCGCAGTGCAACTTCTACTATATTCAATAAAAAACAGAATATAGCAAGATTAGAAAAATAACAACTACAAGATAAAAATATAAATTTTAATTGTTTTACACAGACAGCAGTACGATGTATAGAAGTAACTGCCCTTCCTTAATTGATATTCTTTTTTAGGGGTAAAACTTTATTAATACAACTTACAATTTCCAGTGAGGTTACACAGATTAGTGTCTCCCTGTCGCTGTGCTTTGTCTAACTGTGTCTCACGAATTTCTGTGACATTTTCTAAAATTTCAAACAACTGTTCGATCTCCCTATCATTTCGTTTTTCCTGCATAAGAACGCAAAGACCAATCAAAACCATAGCTAAACTTATGACTAATCACTGGATAATAAAAAAAATTAAAATGCTATATATTGCTATAGCTTATGTAGAGACTTATTCATATCAAACTAAACAAGCTATGGAACATGTATGCACATTATAGACAATAATATCCTCATGTGAAAACTTCCAAGCAATACTTAATGGTTTTTTTATCTACATATAACAAATCTCAAATCATATCAATCTCAACAGAAAAATAACTCTGCACCAATCAATTAATTTCACATAGTTTCAAGTATGTTAACAAATATGCAACTTATTTCTTAAAAGTATAATTATACCACTTAAGAGTGTAAAAAAATTATCAACTGATGCACAGGTTCACCTTACATGTATCTATACATAATCATGTGTTTTAAAGTATTTAGATATATATATATATATATATATAATTTTAAACAGGAAAACCCTAGAGAAATCACAAAGTTTTTCTTTTTTTTCTATATAAGAAACAAGTTTCTTGTATATATAGAGGTGGGAGTACAGCCAAGGCTGAAAATTTTTACCAGTTGCACATACACACTACAAATACAAAACAAATATTTAGGACCAATAAAAAAAAGTATTCCTTTGGACGAAATGTCATGGGTGTCTGAAAAAAAACTGTCCAACTATGTTGTTGAAGCTGAATCCTTGGGATTCTTCAAGAAACAGCTTATTGGGATTCTTAGATAAACAACCAAATAAGTAAGATAGGCCAGTTACTGCCTTATTGATGTTGAATCTCTTGAATCCTTCAAGAAATAGCTTATTGAGATTCTTAGCTCAACAACCAAATAATCAAGATAGACCAGTTGTTGCCTTACTGAAGCTGAATCTTTTGAATCCTTCAAGAAATAGCTTATTGATATTCTCAGATCAACAACCAAATAAGCAAGATAGGCCAGTTACTGCCTTACTGAAGCTGAATCTCTTGAATCCTTCAAGAAATAGCTTATTGAGATTCTTAGATCAACAACCAAATAATCAAGATAGACCAGTTGCTGCCTCTCAGTTATAATGTCATGTGTTCTTTTTTTGGCAGTCTAAATCCAGACCATAACTGAAGTTAGACTTTTGAACTTTCCTAAATTGGATTGTGACACCAGAGCATATGGTGAAGGTAACCAAAGTTCCCACCTCTCTAAGCTCACATCATATCACATTTATGCATGAAAATTCTAACTACCCTAGTCCAAGGTAGCCCACCAGCCTACAAGCTGTTGTCAATATCTTGATGGACGTTGATAGTAGTAGCTACATTTAATTATACTAAAGCCAGATGAACAGTTACTGCCTTCTCCTCCCCTTCATCATTGAAATGAACTTGAATATCTGTGTAGCATAGTATGTTGCAGGTGCAAGTTTTTAACTATTTATATATTTATTTTACTGTGTATTTATATCACTTTTTAGTTCTTTAGGTAAAATCTAGTAAAAATTTTATTTAAGTTTTAGTTTTATTAAACAATTAATTATGAAGAGAAACTACAAAATAAGTTACAAAACCTGTAAATAGCAATTATGTAGAACTATACTCTGTACAACAGACATTTAGTAAAAATGTTTCATAATACATAAAAAAAAGACTAAATATAAAGTATGGAAACATCTGTGATGAAGGCACACACACAAACAGTATCTCAAACAAGTCTTTACACATTTTTTAATTTAATCATATCTATTGACAGCAGGAAGTTTAAGAGTCTTTACTCAACTTTACTTTGGAACATTGAAAACTTATGTAGCAATAAATGTCAAACCAAGAAATCTTTTCTCAACTTTACGCAGTAGCATTGAACCTTTGAGTTACAATAAATGTTACAATAAAAAGCCTTTTCTAAGTTATACTATGCAGTTTTGAAAAATTTAGTTGCAATAAATATTACAATAAGAAGTCTTTTCTCAGCTTTACTTTGTAGCATTTAAAAGTTAAGTTGCACACTAAACTTAAAAACATTCAGAATAGTTTAGACAGAATCAAAACATATCCAAAAATTCCATAGGTAACCAAAAACAGAACAATACACTACATGCATTTCAGAACTTTCAAGTATTATAAAGTTATCTTAATGATAATAAATAAACCAGTTATTTATGTAAACTAGATGTTTCATTGAAATTTCAGATTAACCCAGTTGTATATTAACACATATATATTCCAGAAGTTCTAAACAAAAAAGCAGGTGTGTGTGTGTATGTATTCAAGTATTCAAAAGCAAATGTATGCATTATCCAAGAAATGCCTCACACACTATATGATAAAATTTTCAACTAGTATACAAGTAAACATGATTGTACTCCTCACTTCACTAATATGCATTTTATACCACATAGATTTCTAAATAAGTTATATAAGCACTCCTGAACGTCTCAAAGCATATACCATGGAAAAAACAATGCACTAAGAATAATTTATTCATTAATGTTTATGTACATTTATTAGTAAAATAATTAAAAAGGTACACAAACCTCAAATTCTTTCAAAAAAAAGTTAATTTCACCTTGAACAAAAGGTCGGTGGTCAAACAAACGGGCATAAATTTCCCCTATGTCTAAAAAAGAAATGTATTTATAATAATCGGCATACAGATTTACATAATTTATTCACCTTATACTGCTACATTAAACATAAAACAACAGACTAAAAGCCAAGACATGAACTGTTTTCATAAAACTTACTCAAGAATGACATTTAAGTTTCTAACTACTCAGACTTTAAAATTTGCTTCTAACAAAGTTACATAAAAAGTCAAATCTACAAACATATTTAAATGAATATAGTAATTTTTAACCACAAAGATAAATATTTACTGTCCATTCTAATGACTTTTTTAAATTGTCAAGTCTTGAAGAGTTTGGTTATGATAAAATAAAAACAAAAAAGGGGCTGTTTAAACCATTAATTTTCTTTTTTTTACAGAGAAATGTTATTATTACCGAGGATGTTAGAATTGTTAAAATAACAGTTACATCTTACTTTCATTATTTTTCTTTGTTTTACAGGATACAGGTAGCATGAAACCTGTTTCAAATTTAATGACAAATCTGGGCTTACACTTACAATACACACTAATTGACCATTTTATTAGGACATACAACTAACATATTATGTGTTTGAATTTTTGATTTTTATGACAGCCTGGACTCGGACTGGAAAAAGATAAAAGATGCTTTAAAAAATCTTGTTTGAAAGTAGCCCACTTATACATAAGTATGAACACAAACTGCAGTAGTTTACAGCTGCTGGAAAAGAAAAACAATGACAAATAAAATGTTTATGTTCGTTACAAAATATTCAATATGGCCGAGATCTAATTATTGTACTGAGTAAGAAAAATGGCTAAAGTCACTGTCATGCTGTTAGAAACAATGTTGAACAATATGAGTGATGTGGGTTGCTTCAATATCATCTTAGAATAGCCTTGGTTCATCAGTTTTGAAATTCAGCATTACTGGATGAACTTGATTAGTATCAATAGTCATGTCAATGCTAGATGTACTTACCCTTTCAAAGGAACTAAAGATCCCCTACCATGTCACACTTCCCATACTATTAAAGATCCCCTCTTGTGTCACATTTCCCATACTATTAAAGATACCCTCCCATGTCACTGCTTACTTTTATGTTGATGTTTTTTTCTGTTAAGATGTTTACAAAATAAATAAATAATTCTATATTCCAAGGTACATGATGGTAATAGTTCCAATTTTGATCACATGTTAGCTGACAGGACAATATGTTTGCTTGGTTTTTACAATCTGGTATAAGTTAAATTTCTAAAAATGTTTTTTAATGTCAGATTAAATTTTTCACTAAGTTCTCTCCTTATTGGTAACAATAGGCATTTCTACTAGTACTAGTAATGTAAAAACGTATAACCATTATATTTTAAAGCATCCACAATGGATCAGCCTATATTTAAGTTAGCTTCTGGACATTACTGTAGATTATAATGCCTGTCTCTAGAGTATTTATATAGTATATCTAATATTTTCAAGGCCTTAAAAACACAATTTTTGACATGTGTTAGGTATGTTACACATAATCTAAGGCTACATTATACTCACTGCCACCGTCTCTTTAGTTACTCTTACCTGACCTAATAATGGGATTTAACAGTCACCATTATAATGATCTAAAGTGCAGAATGCAAGTATTTTGTTTGTTTTTTGCAGATAGTAACAAGAAGCAAATGATGGACCCATAGATCCATAGTCTAGCACGCTACACTGGGTTGCTTGAACCTTTTTCTCATAGCAGAGATGATATTAAGTTTTATTGCACTGATACCACTTTGTATTACAATGTGTATCTTTGCTTGTTTTTCATTCAAGTATGTTAAACTGTCTGGTCTTCATAGAAATCGTCCTTCAAAATGAACTTGCCTTCATTAATAAAATTCTGGGTAGTGGTGGCTGCCTTTAAACCTTCCTAGATAAGCTCAGTGCCATACATCTATGCCTTTTCCAAGAGATTACATATATACACACAAATTTTACTCTTAGTCTTAACCATGATATCCCTACAATTAGTAATGTTAAAAAGACTTATCCAATTTTTTTTATAAAGGGGCTAATTTCCCAAAAAATACTCAAAGTATTAGTTTTATATTTTTTATTCCTAATAATTAAAAATAATATGCTTAATAATGACATTTCTATATTATTCTTTGTTATTTTTATAATTTAAGAATTAAACTTAATCATGATAATGACTCTACTGACCTGAGTCTTACTATTAGTATTACTTCAATACTTGTCAAGTTAATCTGACGACGGTCTGTTTTTTAAATTAGCACAAAATTCAGGCTCTAAGACTGCTTTTAAAAGGATTTATTATTTCACATAATATGCATGTGTATATCTTCTTCAAATATTGTATAACAGATTACTTCTGCATACCAAGTTATTGTACACGTAGATTATGCATAAATAATTAAAATATGAATTTGCCTAAAAGTTAACACAGAGTTGAATCTGCATAATGGGACCTGATTCTGCATAATTCATAAAAAGAAGTCCTTGAACATTGTCATTTCGCATTGTATTTTTGGTGCTTACACACTTCTTTCCATTAGTTATGAAGAATATATGGTATGCAAAAATCAGTTCTCGTCCTATTATTCTGGTTTGAACCTACATTAACTTCTTTTGCAGAATCGATCCATTATGCAAATTCAATCCATAATTTAACTTATTATACACAAAAACTAAATCATATGGTTTAGGCCTGACTCTTCATACAGGAGTGACCTGTTATAACAGAATTGACCCGTTATGCGGAATACACCAATATTTCAAACGTATATTGAATCAACCTGTTAGTTATGTATAAACAACTTGTTATAAAGAATTGACACATTTTTTTAGTATTAAACATTTAATCTTATCCACATGGGTTGGGGTCAAAGTGCACATGCTACAACTTTACAGAGTGCATTTAAGTTTCAACATAGTGATGCATATTTGAAATTGATGCCAGTTATCAATTATTCATTTGATCCTACATTTTCAATTTAGCAACAGCTCATGGTAGAGGAGAATAAATACTAAATACAATATACAGGAATATTGAAATTTCGGAGGTTCTAGAGGTTATTGAAAATGAAATGCAATATTCAAAATGTACGAAGGACGAATGAATTTTAATTTTCAGATGAACATCACTTTACACTCCAACTTGTCAGAATCAAACTAACGTTGTCAATTAACAGATATATCTGGAGTACAAATACTTTACTAATACTTCTGATTTTTTTTGTGTACAACAGACTTATACTAGTTATAGTAAATTATACAGTTTACGAAACCTTACAACATTTCATGAAGATACAACTTACAAGTATTTTGAAGTAATAAATTCGACATTATAGTTAACATTCTTTCTCCAATCGTACTGACTGACCCTGTGCACATTCGGTTAAAGAGTTTTGCTGTTTATGCAAAATAGTACATCCCCTTTTTAAAGTTTTCAATAACGTAATTTTTTACAAAAATATTTAAAAAATAGCCCTTAACGCTAAAACTTAGAAAATGGATTTTGGGCTAGTCTCCGGTTCAAAACATTAGTTTAACTTTAAGTCATAATGATAAAAACTAATGTTAAACTAAAAACTTATTTATATATAATCTGCGAGATCAACCACGTCAAAATCAAAGAGGACACCAAAAGTTATGAATAATATTAATAAGAACAACGTATACCTTTCACAACATTATCAATAGATGCTATTTCTACCATTTTCGTTGTAGTATGAAAGTTCCCTCTAAACGAAATATACAAAGACTGGCACCTTATAACGAATACGAAAATACCAGTGCAGTACCATGTTTATCCTACGAGACTAAATTATATATTTAATAATTTTCATTTATGCTACTCACAACATCAATGTTAATGACTGTGAAGGGACCTAGGCGTGTCAAATAATAAAATTAAATGCAAAATAGAGAGTAACGAATGAAACACATAATATAAATTAATAAATATGATAACATAAATGAAATATAGTATTACAGTTCAGTATAATCATTATAGGGTCAAATCCACATAACGATGACTAAAGTAACTTAAATGGAAAATGTTCCATTTTTGAGTTAATTTCGTTTTCTTCGGATGCGATAGTGAGACCTCAAAGCTATTGCTAATCGATCAAAGCATTTGTGATTAGTTTTGTTTTGTACACTTAAATTCTACTTGTTTCTGGATGTAACAGTTTATATACATGCTATCTAATTTAGGACCAGTCACGATTAAACTCTATAACAAGTAAACAACTCACATGGTTAAAAGGGAATTTAATGTAATTTTTGGTTCAAGAAACTGGTGAATAATCTTTTCTTAATAAACTCGATGATATATATATATATATACCAATAAAATTGTTGTTATTCTAGTGATGTCGAGTACTCTCAGCTCATACTTATAAAACTAGTGAATTGTTTTTTTTTACTATTAGAGGGCTGAAGGAGTGTTCCAAGTTAAGCGCATAAGAAATGTAAGAGTAATGAGTTTAACTACTAGCGAATGTTGCGCTATCGATAATTAACTATTTCACTACAAATATGCAAGTAAAACAAACGCCGTTTTCTTGATTTTTTTTGGCATTTTTTGTGTATATGGAAAGCAAGTAACCTGAAAAGTCTGAAAATAAATATTAACTTATGCACGTGTTATGATACACTCATACATTCTGTCAGGTTCAGTGTTCAGTAGTGACGTAGCGTCATGCAAGGTGGAGTGTTATATGAATGATACCTTATTAACTCAGTGATAACTTGTCGCTTAGGTGTTAATTGCTTTATTAACAAATTATTAATATTTCTAGTGGCTGATTCAGGAGTTTAGCTATGTATCAAAATATTTTTAGAGCAAGGAAAGCCTAATTATGCTTAAGTAAATATTTATTCTCTGTTCCGAGTTAATGAACTTTACTACCGCATTTACTTTTTTATTACGTTTACATGTTTTTATTTTAAGAGAGTTCGTAACCATGGAATAAGATAACAAAAATGGTCGTTAATCATAATTAGAACTATAAAAGCTATTTTGATATATTCGTGTCAAACTTATTTCCCTTAAAGTGACGGGATAGGTCTACATAACAACAGAAGATTCGACAAGATGTTAATACGGGGTTAATAAATTTAGAAATAAATACATAGTAAAGGCGCTGTCCTTTGTCCTGTACAAACATTACTTTATTGTGCTTGTGAATTTGAATAAAAATTATTTCACTGTGTTTTTGTAAATTTCTCCCCACACTCTTTCATTTTCAGACGCAATCAAAGTTTTCATAACATTTTAATGTTATTATTTGGTTATTTTTGTGACGTGTTTTGATTACTTTTATTTAATTGTTTGATTATCAAACTAATTTTCTTTTTCCTTATAAGTAAATTTATTTCGTATTTTGATTGTTTTTGTTTTTATTAAATGGTTCATTTTTTATGTAGATATTATTGTATTTGAATACCACTGACGTTTTTCTGAAAGGGTTTAGCTTATCTTGTACTAATCAATTTTATTTGTTTCGTACTAATTATGTCAGTGCATTTTTTTATTTGAACTGCGTAAATGTTAAATTACTTTTGTACAACTATTGCACAACTGTATTTTCAATAAAAGATTATTCTTATTTTGTACTTTTACATGCATTTCAAGGGGTTTTATTAAAAATTACTGTTTGCTTATTAAAGTGTCTGTTTTTATATTTAGTGCATACTTGTATCAATGTTAAACAGTTTTCATCATGTACTTCTTCATTTAAGGGGCAAAATATTTAATACACTCCCTGACCTTTTTTAAAATTTCTATGCTTCAGATATAATTTTTTTATTGTGTCTTTACTAGTAGGAAAGTTATATGTATATGGATTATATTATGTAAATTGATGTCAGAGATTATTGGAATGGTCAAAGTGAAAATAGTTTATCTACTTGTAACTTTCCATAACACATACTCCACATTTCTTCATAATGGACCAGGGTTCCCCTCAGCTCTTTTTAGCATACTGGGACCAATACGTTTTTATTTTTAAGCTTAACACTCTTTATCTGACAGGTAACTGTGCTCCCTGATAAGCTATTGGGCACGTTTTGATTACGAGTAAGTATTGTTGTTTTCCCCACATATTGAAAACAGTCTACACTAGTTACATGCATCTGGTGCAGTAGTACAAGACAATTGCTGACACTTAGCATGGTGTGCTCACTGGTTCCTTGTATGTCTACCACTGTATTTTTGGGTTTTAACCAGCAAACTTGCTTTGCTTGGTGCTCACTTGTCCTACTTGAAATAATGATTAATTGTAGAGCTTTATTTCTTCTGGGAAGAACTCAGTGATTGCTCTTGTTCATGTCAATACTGTTCTTTTGAAAAACCATATTGCATAATTCTGGTAGAAAGATTTTATAGTCCTAGCTACTACATGTATTTATTAAAAACGTCAGTTGTCTTGCACTATAGTATTTGAATACTCTATAAAGATTAGAAAATAAACTAAATGTACAAACAAAATATTTTAATTTGTTTTGTTTCTTAATTTTACTTTACAATTAAGCAAGTTTTCTGTTGAATGTTTGTGTTGTATTTAAAATGTTATTGGATGATTTTAGATATTTGGTTTAATGTTTTATCCTTTATAATCTTTGGTGTTAACTCCATTAAACTTGTGTTAACATTTAGAGTATTTAGTATTAAAAAACATATATATTGAAAGCAACTGCGCGAGTGTACACTTGAAACTATACAAGTAATGTGAGGTTCTGAAAGTGAGGTATTACTATCATGATTTTTTGCATGGTTTAAATTTTTGCTCATGTACACAATTATTATAAGCTCATTTATTGAATTTATGCAAATTTAAATACTGACTAAGTTTTATTTATTGTATATATATATATATATATACAAATCTCACACAGTAGAAAAGTTTAAAGATGACAAATATACAACGGCATCTATTGTCACAAATCAATTGTATAAGAAACAAGAATATGGAGGAATATATTAATATTTAAACTACACCTTAGGGTAGTACTTTTTAAGCTCTCTAAAACAATATCCTTTCTATTAAACCTTCTAATTACCGAGACTCCATGAGCAATAAAACAGCTTATTTCATATTTGGAAGAACGAATTTGTATCCTGGTACAAAAATCAAAGTCTTGCAATTCTTTTCTATACTTGCATTTCTACCAAATCCTGAGATAAACAATAAAATTTTATTTTGCATAAGATTATTGAGTTCATGTTTTAAATAGATAAATCCAACAGGTACAATCAATTTTGGCTACCTTACACACACTGAAGTCTTAATACTTAATTATTTTGAATGTTTATCAACGGTAACTTACAAATAACAAACAAATTATCTTTCAATTCATTCACTGTGACCCACACTAAAAAAAAAAAATCTTGTTTTTCTTACAGCTATTAAGAAAAGATTTAGAATAAATTATGGTACTCATAAAAACACATCCAATATTTTAAGTTAGAACTGGACAACACATTCTTAAGTTTTCCAATACTTGAAATGTTGTTTAGAAATCCTCATTACCTTGCAGCTCTGCTACTTCAACACTTTTGAGAAGTTAGATAGAAATGTATAAAATAATAGATGTTATGATGTGTAATACTAAATTAGTGGAATAACATATGCATAATATATACAATTTGTTGGACAATGTGCTTAATGAGTATTTATAAAAAGTGAAACAAGACAAAAAGTTTTTTTTTACAAGACTAGGATATCATGCTGTTTTCCAAAGCTAAGGTAAACAAAAAACTGAACTCAGAATTTAAAAAAAAAAACAAAAAAAAATTATATTTCAGGTAGTTACGGTTTTAAGAAAAAAATTTATAATGCAAAAACGATGGAAAATTATGGAGACTTAATAATAAAAAAACCTCAATAGTAAGTAGGTCTGAAGCTTTACAACAGAAGCTCCTTTTTTACTTTTCTACATTTTCTTCATTATTTGCCTTACTTTATAGCACCACCAAACAAAAATTGGTGGGGGGGAGAGGGGCTTAGGCATTATTGTCATTTCAAACAAACAACATTAGTTATAACAATAACTGAGCACAAGCTCAAAATAGTCAGTAAAGCTTGAGATGATTCACTTTGAACTTCCTATAAAACAAGTATAATTATGCAACTAAGCATTGTACTGTAACATGATTACAACAAAACAAATGACATTTCCCATAAATGAGTTGTCCTTTTCATCATATTACATTTACTTCCAACATTAAAATGAACAACTTTCATGGTTTTAATCAGTTTTACCTAGAACAAACTTTCATTTTTTATTAACCTGAACTAAATAAGATGTCTCCCATCTAGTCAAGAGTAGCAAAATGATTTAAAACCATAATAATCAGAAATTATATCCAAATACATTTGTTTCTGGAATTGTTTCTAACAAAGTTAGGATCAGATGCAATAAAAGTTTTAAAAAGTTTCCAATTTTTTCTTAAGTAGGTACTAACAATTGTTTTTTTTTTGTTTTTTACAACAAAGATACACAAAAAAGAAAAGAAAATTACTGTATGAAAATAAATCTCCCTAAAATTTGGAGACTTGTGTTTCATAGTTACTTGTTATTTAGGTAAGCCTGAATAATATATTTTGTCTGACTTACTTTGATATCAAAATGATCATATTAGTGGAACTAGAAAGTTTTTCCTCTCTATAAAAATTATCTCCTATAGAACCAAATTCAGGTTCAATCTAAAAATGTGAATATTTTATATTTTAACAATTTCAAGCTGGAATGTTCATAATTTTATAATAAGCCTACTTCACTACACAATCTAGGAAGAAATTCTGTGACTATAATATTAACTTTTCTTTTTTTTCTTAAGCTCAGTAAACTAAGATTGAAAAAAATCCTTCCAAGTTCTCAAAAATGATGGGAAGGAATGTTATTGTTTCTCCCAAAAAGGTATTGTACTATAGATTATTAACATCAGAAAACATACTGCCACATACAATGCTAAAACACACCATGCTGTGACTACATTTAAGACTTCTGAGAAATTTAGTCATAACTGTAGTTTCCTACCTAAGACTGACTAAAAAAGCAGTATTATTAAATGTTGGGTCAACTGAAACACCTTAGTCGACACCTCTCATTTATAAAAAAATAATAAAAAAGCATGAACCCAAACAAACAATTTTTATAAACATTAGCAAGCACTTTAAAAAAGGAGCAATGGCAGTTTTAGGTATCTTTACAGAAGTCCAGAAAAACTTCTGCAAATTCTGCCTTTATGTTGTTCCATAGTTTTGACCACCACTCCTTTTATGTCCCACACACAGGTAGAGGCTTTGGTTTATATTAACTCTGTTTCATGAATTTATTATTACAGCATGTGGACAAAACTTGCTGGAAATACTCCTCTTCGCTGAGGTTCCCCTTCAATCATTCCCTCCATCCACTCTTCATCATCTGTAGTTTCACTGATTATCACAATGATCTCTCCTTCACTAAAAGATAATTCATCTTCTCTGTCAGCCTCACAATCATAAAGGGCCTTACAGCGAGGCTTCAAACTGTCATGACGCTGAGAAGGTAAAATAATATTAGATAGTTTAACCACTAAAATACACTTACGTATCACATGTGATATTTAGATTTGAAGAAATACATGTGTATGTTTGAATAACTGTATTATAAAAGTATGTTATTTCCTAAACTACACAACAATAAAAAAAGTATTTTTCATTAGACATATTAGAAAATAAGCATTATTATTATTATCAACAAGATTAGTAAAATTTTTTAATTTAAATGAGGGGGGGGGATAGGGATCATAAAAAATGTACAGAATCAGGTTGAATCAAAATGCAAATATTATATTTTCAAGCCTACAACTAAAGACTCTAAAACAAGTAAACAAACAATGCTGGAAATAGTTTTCATTATATTTTCAAGCTACAAGTCCCATGCCTACAGTATTTATCAATTTAAAAAGTATCAATAACTATATGAAATAGTGCTATATGCAGTGGTAATAAATATTGAATATAAACTCACAATTTCAGCGAAGTATAAGAAACAGTAGAAAAAAATCACCATCATCCGAGTAGGGAAACCTACTGGGGTAATTGTCCACTGTTAAAAACTTGCTGAAATATATTCGTGGAAATCCATGTAGAGACAGCAAACTGAAGTAACGATGAACTACAGTGACTCGAGTAACAATAAGCAACAGCAAAATTGAGAACCTTTCACGCGGCAGTTTCAAACTAATTCACACACTAGGAAAACACTGGATTTTTTTAGGACTTGGATAGTTTCACAGCATGACAAAATTAAGGAGACTGAATTAAGTTTAAAACTACTCTCTCTGTTTTTTGCAAAATTCCTGTGTAATCCCACAATACAGTAGATATCATTTGTAATAATTTTTGTAGCTGAGCAGACTGTCAGCAATAGATCTCCAGCCTTGTTTGTTTACTTTTTTTGTAATCCCTATTTGTAGATTTTAAATTATCAATTTTTAATTATCTTGTACATTGACTTTTTTAATGCACAGCAATGGGCAAATATATGCCTAAAGTAAGACACAACCCCCACTAAGTGCATATAAAATTTTACCAGTAGAAAATCAGCCTTTTCAAATAAAACAAATGTCTAAAACATCACTTTAAATAAAGCTTCACGTCTTTTAACGTAATGATTTACTGAACCAGTAGGCTTTGTGTAAACACGTGTTGAGTGCAAAAGCAGCCACTCAGAAAAATATCCCATTTATTATGTATTTATACCCAGCCGATTTTGCTGCAGGCTTGTGAAACATAATATTAATAATAATAATGTG